ATCCCCCATGCTGTTGCAATCTGAAGGTCAGGTACCTTCCCTCACTGTATCTTAAGCATGAGGGTCTGTGGTATACTCAGGTTTGTGATCAGCATTTTTCATCTCTGTTTTGATGCAAATTCTGATTTTTTGCTCCTAACTGGCATGAGATTGCAGGGATCAAAGGCCATTTGCTCTATTGTTGGCAGCTAGGTACAAGACTATCCATGGAGAGGTGATATAGAGGTGTAGCAGAAAAAGACAAGCCTCAAAAATAGATACCTTTACCTGGGAATTCCTAAAATGCCACAGTGTAATCAGGTGGTCCCAGAGACACTCAGTACACTGCCCTTGGGAGCCAACAGCTCTGCTTTGCTCAGAGCTTTAGTGGAATAGCAGCCAAGTAGGTAATGATGTAAGCACATGCACATCTCGCTTCCAGTTCTCTCGATCCCATTGCTTCGATTTGTGGGTTCAGTATTTTGAGGCTGAGGATAGAAAAGAACAAGTTGTGAGAATATCTTCCTTCCTTCATTCCTTCCTTTGTTCCTTTCTGCCTTCCTGCCTGCCTGCCTCCCTGCCTTCTTTTCTGCCTGCCTCCCTGTCTGCCTTTCTTCCTGCCTTCCTCCCTCCTTCCTTCGTTTCTTCCCTCCTTCATTCCCTGTCAAAATCTCTGCAAGTGTGCTGAAAAGTGGGGGGAGGGGGGTGTCTACTGCAAGATTATTACTGAGACCACTTGTGACACTTTCTCATTAGCCTGTGTAATGGGAAGCCAATCTGCTGCTCAGGAAGCAGCACTGCAAATTATTTTCAGCCACAGATGATGCAGCCTGGCTTTGAACTGCTTAGGCCTTGCTGTAACAGAAGCACCAGTAACATTCATTTAATGTGTGTTGACCTTACCCTGACCTAGGAGACAGAGACAGCTCCTGCTCTGGCTTATCAAAATGCCTTTTCCTGTACAGGTTTCTGCTTGGCAGAGTACCAGGAGGAAAATATTATATTCTGTCTGCAGAAGGGTGGAAAGTTTGTTTGGCTTCCACGTGGCTGGGGGGAGAAGAAAACGTGTTTATTTTTCCCCTCCTATAACCCTGCTGATGACACATGCCAACTTTTGAATCTTAAAGGGCAGTGATATGGGGTGAGGACAAAGGACTAATCTGGACAAAGGGTGCCCCCAGGGCATTAAAAATAACTATTCCCCTCACCTTCTGTTGCTGCAGTAGGCTGACACCACTTGTCACTCAGACAGAGACCTGTATCAAACAGGATGAAACTGCAGATGACGGGAAGTCCCTGAATGTAGACAAACCCATCAAGTCTCACACTTTGGACATGAAACTCTGGACCACCGCCTGCTCCTAAACTGATATCACTTTCATATGCAGTCATAGAGGCACAAGCTTTTCATTTTCCATGACTGCAGAAAAGAGACTGCGGATGTGCCAGGATCCCCCCTGACCCCAAAGCTTGACATACTACACAGCAGCAGACCAGCACAGCCAGAGGACCCAATGCACCAAAATATGAGTACCCAGTCATAAATGAGAAGAAGACGAAACATGAGAACGATGTGGAGGGGCATGACAAAAACATGTCTTCCTTGAAAATCAGCCAGAGCTCAAGGGAAGAGATTGTGAAGAAGCAGACCACAAGATAAAAGATTACTGCTTGCTCAAAAGTGTAAGACTTCATACTTGAGTTAGCAAAGCCTTTACTGACAATACTCTGCAACCATCGCAGTGCCCAACTGGGTCAAACGTACCTCAAGACCTGGTCACAGAATCACAGAAACACAGAATTGTTAGGGTTGGAAGGGACCTCTGGAGTTCACTCAGTCCAACCCCTCCCTCAAGGCAGGGTCACCTAGACTGGGTTACACAGGAAGTCATCCCAGTGGGTTTTGAATGTCTCCAGAGAAGGACACTCCACGACCTCCCTGAGCAGCCAGTTCCAGTGCCGTGTCACCCTCAGTGAAGTTCTTCATTTTGAGGTGAAACTTCTTGTGTTTTAGTTTATGTCCGTTGCTCCTTATTCTGTCACTGGGCATCACTGAAAAGAGTCTGGCATCATCCTCTCAGCAACCATCTTTGAGATATTTATATGCATTAATGAGATCCCCTCTCAGTCTTCTCTTCTACAGACTGAACGGGCCCAGCTCCTTCAGTCTCTCCTCATAAGAGAGATGCTCCAGACTCCTCATCATCTTTGTGGCCCTCTGTTGGACCGTCTTCAGTAGCTCCTTGTCTTGTACTGAAGAGATCAGAACTGGATACAGTGCTCCAGATGTGGCCTCACTAGGGCTGAGTAGAGGGGGAGGATCACCTGCCTAGATCTGCGACCTGCTGTCCACACTCTTCCCAATGTACCCCAGGATACCACTGGCCCTCCCAGCTGCAAGGGAACACTGCTGGCTCATGGTCACCTTGTCATCCACCAAATACTACCAGGTCCTTCTCTGCAGAGATGCTCTCTAATAGGTCAGCCCCTAACCTGTACTGGTACTTGGGGTTATTCCTCCCCAGGTGCAAAACCCTACATTTGCCCTTGTTGAACCTCGTAAGGATTCTCTCCGTTCAACTCTCCCACCTATCAAGGTCCCACTAAATGGCAGCACAACCTTCAGGTGTATACCTAATGGTATACTTTTAAATAATTTGTCATTAGAAGGCAATTTTTGTTCTATTTATTAGCACTCCACCTTGTTTTATGCCTCCTTGCTCTACAGATTACTCTGAAAGAAAAACATACTGCAGTTTTAGTTGCCTCACTGGAAGAAGGTCATTATATTTCCTTTGGCCTTTCTTGCTTCTCCAATTTATGGATTGCTGACATATTCACGTGGCCTTTGTTTTGATCTCTGCCCTATATGCCAGGGCTTGAGAGAACTCATCCAAGTAGCAAATGGACATTTGTCAGAATTATTTATGAAAAGACAGAACAGGATGAAGCCAGTGATGTCTCAGAGACCCTGCCCTGGATGTGAAAGGGTTGTGCCTTGTTGAACTGCTCTGACACTGGTTGTCACCTTGGCCAATCATGCAAGCAAATGTTGGATTGGTGCCCACTGCAAAGGAGCTGTGCTGAAAGATCTCACTTTTCCAAAGTGCTGGCCGATTAACTGCAGGGCTGTGAATCCTTCCTCTAACAAGTTTGCACAAGCTGTGAGGTTTAGATGGGGTAAAGGTTCCTTTCCACTATTTATCCCATGTAGAATCAGAAACCCAAAGAGATAGAGATAAATGAGTTTCTGGTTACAGATCAGTTTAAACAAATTACAGTCGCAGGACAAAGCCTTGCTGCGTAGAAAGCCCAAGAGGGGACAATACTAGAGCCAACTGCAGTTACCTGCCAGTGCTGGCAATTCTAAAGCTCAGTACTCATTGCTCTTGCTGGTTGCTTTTTATTTTGACAGCAAGCTTGAACGTTTACATTGAATTAATAAAAACCAAATGTTTGTGCCATTAATTTCTGGGCTTGGTAATTCTGACATCTCTGGTATTTCTTCTCCAGCATGCAGAAAGAGTTCCCCCTCTCCCTCCCCCACCCCTGCTCAGTTCTGTAAATGCTCCAAGTAGCTCGGTATAATAATTTCTACCCTCTGTTCTGAGATCCCCTCACGGGTCCTTGCCCCAATTTGGGATGAATCTGAACATATCCTCTGACAAAATTACTATACCCAATCTCAGCACACTCCTGCTCCACATTCTGCTAAGTTGATTATACAGCTAATTGGACACAGGGAACAAAGCAATTTAACTTCCCTAGAAGATGACAGCACTGAAATGCCCAAAGCCGTTGAAAGTAGCTCTATGCAGGAGCTAATTCTTCCACCTCACTTATCACAGGCAGCTTTCATGCACTGGAAGTTTTAGGGCAATACTTTCCATCAGAAAAGAAACCAAGTGTTCAGAAGCACCCTGCATCAGCCAGGGACATTAATTTTCTTATTTTCTAATCTATATTCAGGTGTGCCCCAAATGGCCCCTTTTACCACTGGGAAACGTAAGAGCCAGCAGCATTACAGCTCGTAGGAAAAATGATGCAGAGGATGGAGTGAGGTGCTATTCACTAAAGACAGATGAGGAAAATGGGATGAGAATGGACAAAATAAGAGGAAAGACTGAGCATTTGGAGAAAACTAAGCAGAGGAACAGGAAAAGAAAGGCAGACAAGAGGAGAGGCCTCTCCTTCACTGGAGTTTCTCCGTCCTGGACACATAGAGCAATGGAACTTTGGGAAAGGATTTCTGGTCTCCCAGCAAGAGCCTGCTGAGAAAGAGGAGAGCTGAAGGCTGCTCCTGATATCCCTATGGTTTTGAATCCTTTCAAAGGAATTGTTTCCTCTTGGTACTCATCAGTGCTGGTTTCTCATGGTTGTGACAGGGAGGGGATCCCCTTTTAAAATGTTTTAGCCTCTTGAAGGTCACCTCAAGCACCACTCCGAAGACAATTACAGAGGTGAATGTTGTTTCAGCCTCACCTGTGCTCCAGTAGAAAGAGGAGAAACCCTGTTGTTTTCTGTGGTACCAAAGAAGTGCTCCCTTGTGAAAACAGGAGAGCCCATATATACAAACATTTCAGATTTTCACGTGACTTGAGCCCCACCAAATGACTAATCCCTGTTCATAGCCCTCCTTCCACGACGGCGCAGGGCCCTGTGGTGGGGACAAACAAGCACTGCCCTTGGAAATGCAACCTGTTGTGTGACAGCACGCCACCCCGTTTCCCAAACAAAAAGCAGCTGGGAGAAAACATCTACCCCCTAAATGTAGATTTATTAACACCCGGCACCAGGAAAGTCAAGGTCAAGGGTTAAAGCTCGCCTTTATCCATCACCTCTTGATATGACCTTGGTGGGGCTTTTTGCAAAGGGCAGGGACAGTTGATGCGGTAATGAGCTGCTCTTCCCAGGAGACCCAACATGATGAAACAGTACAGGACATCCACTTTTATGTATCAGTGCAAGAATACAGGTTTGATTGGTAATAAGTTTCCCATTAAAAATACATGGGAACTTACCTCAGAGAGACAGGGAGTAGACCCCACAGGATAAAGACTATTCAGCCAGCTTTTAATGAAGGCAATTACATGCATGTATTTGAAGCTTTCCTTCCTCATTCTTCTCCAAAGAAAACAGGCTCATTTCATGGAGGAAAATTAGAATGAAAAATAAATTCTCGATTGTTGTTTTTTTAACTGGGTGAATTACATTTTAGTATTTGAAAGACTGTGGCTTTAATACAACTGAGATGATGCATAATAATATTAGCTTACATGCAGGTATAATAGCCACTTTTCAGAATAAAACAGTTTTTAAATTCTGAGGAAATTAGTAGTTTCAAAAGGAACAAGAAAATGCAACTTGGGTGTTCACTGAGACCTTTCATTTTAATGAGTCAAACAATATATTGAATCATACAGCAAGGATTTAATTCTGTTTTATTCTGAGGACCTATTGAGCTATTTATTCATCTCTCAATCAAGACTGGCTGTCACAAGTTTTGTCGTTTGTTTGAACTTATATTACAGGCATAGTAAACAAGGTGCTCCTCAGTGCTCTCCTTCACTTTTTCCTGTTCTCTCCCTCCTGCTCCAAGCACACATGGAGAACCTGTAGCACTTTGCTCATTGGATCTTTGGATTTTGCCCAGTGGATCTGTGGAGTTTGCTTCATGTATCTGTATTTCTGAACTTGAATTCCAATCTCATATGCATAACAAATGGATCTCGAAGCATGGAAATTCACAGCAAACAAAACATTCTCTACTGGTCCACTGGTGCTCTGATACCATTGACACTGTCACAGAGTCTTTATATTTATGCAGGTAAAGGACAGGGGAGAAGGCCACTCAGTCATCAATCCAGTCTGGAATAGTGCCAAAAATTACTGGCATTTCATGTGGGATAAAGGCATAAAGACTATGCACAGAAATCAGTTTACACCCCTGTTTTTTAGCAGATCTGACATAACAGGATTAAATTGTTGTCATCTGTGAGCATGCACATTTTACCTTCTGTGCATGACAGCATCTCCTGAGGTGAAGTTAGGGATGCAGATGGAGTTCAAGCATCAGTCTGAGAAAAGAGAGTTGCTTTGGAGTACTCAGATCATTATACCTTTAAAGATGCCCAACAAGTTCAGAGCAGACACTATGAAACTGTCTCCTTTAAAATTGCCTCCAACAGGGACTCCTTTAAAATTGCCTCCAACAGGGAACCAGAAAACAAAGGAATCATCGTCACCAGCATTTTTAAAAATTTCTGGTCTTGGTTTAAAGAGCTGAACACTGAACATGGTGTCATGTGGACCATAACAGCTTCATAAACTTGAAGCAGACCTGAATCTGCAGTATACCTAAAATGGCCAGGGTCACAGGGCCAGTCCTTCCTCCATGCACCTCCAGTAGCAGCACTGGTGAAAGCAGAGGCACAAACATCTGCCACAACACGCACACGCTCCCATCCCAGGAACCATCACACCAGATGGTTACAAAAAACATTACACAGCCCAGGCAAGACCCCATAGCCAGCAGACACTACAGAAGCAGCAAATCTCAGCTAACTCTAAAGCTTGGTAGATTTGGACAAATGGTTCTTCCATTCACTCTGCCTATCACGCTGCCCTTCTGTGAAGCAGCCACAGCAGGCCACCATCATGGCACTGGGCTCTGTTCTCCTCCACCACCAGAAGCTGCAAGAAAGCCCCACAGGGGAGCTCCCTTGATAGCACCCACCAGTGCCCAGCCCTGCCAGGACAGGCTTTGTGTTCAAATAACATTAATCTGCAAAATCCTTTGATTTCTCTCTGGGTGCTTTCTGTGTTGTTTAGGCAATGTGCCTCTTGTAGAATACTCTATTCTTTCTCAATATTTCATTTATAAGAGGAATTTCCTTACCCAGAACTAGCAGATACTCCCCCTGCTCCACCCTCCATTATCCTCCTCCCTGCCCCCATAAAACTATTATTTAAAACCAGGAAAAAATACTCTGGCCAAACAATCTTCCCTCCACCCTCCCTGCTATCTGTTTAAATATCCTTGACTGCAAGACATTCAGTACAGAACAGTCATCAATTTTTAATTCATTTAATCTCTTGGTAACAGTGTTCTCGTGAACCGAAGGGCCCCTGAGGAAGCTTCAGAGAAACGTCAGACTAGCATCTTTCACTGGATCCAGGCATGAAATTTTGAGGATAGAGTAGACTCTGTGCAACTGTATGGGTTAATGGAGGAGAAAAGATACTTAAAACTGAATACCTTTCACCCTCAGATAAATCAAAACGCATTGTAAACCAGGCTCTGTACCCCTAATGCAGCACAGATTGAAACAAGCACCAGGGAGAGAATTCCCTGCGTCAGAGTAGTTCATGATTCAGCAAACTTGGGAAGGAGCCCTCTGAGTAAACATGTGGGTTGTCTGTGCTCCTGGTCCTGCTACTGCTTCGTTCTTGTTCCAAGAAGCTCAGAGAACATCCTAATACGCTGTCAGTAATTAAATTCTGCCTGCTCAAATGCCCCAGAAGTCTCAGGAGAGGATAGTTTTTCTCCTCAAGCCTGTAAATGGCAGGGAATCTAATACTCTGTGTAGCCGCATTGTTCTGCAAAGAACAGTCTTTCAGGAATGGACCAAATAGTACCTGTGCACAACGTGAATGTTAATTGGCTCTGCAGGTGCTTTAGGGGAGGGAGCAAGAGGGTTTTTGGTTGTATTCAGTCATGTCGTATAATTGTAGCATCCAAAGGCCCCAGTTGTGCTGAGAGTTGCATGAAAACAGAGAAAGAGCAAAACCTGTCCCCACTATCTTATCGTCTAATAAAACAGGTTAAAAATAACCTATAGCCCTAGTTCTGTGACAGCTAGAAATTACACATTTTATCTGACCCCAAGTCTTCTCATCATGGGGTGTATAAGAATTGCAGCTCTCTGAGGAGGCTTTTGGAGGGAGAAACAGGTTTGATCACACTATGTATGATACTGAACTTAATGCATACATACAGCATCACCTCTACAGCATCCAAGCAGCAAGAAGTGTGTATGCATGCACAGCTCCAGATATCTAAAGGGACTGCCCTGTGCCGCTGGCCATCACAGAGAAATGCAATGCTAACAAAGGTGGTGGAACAAAGAAGCCTCTCTCCCCACCTGCCTCAGCTCTCCTCCCTATCAGAGATCCCTGTCCAGTATTTCCTTACCCATAATACCTGGCAAGCTGCTCTGCAGGGGTGGGTATGGCCAAGTCCTGCTTGGCTTCTAGAGGTTGATGCTGAATAACTTAGTCAAGCAGACGCAGTTGTAAAGAGGCTGTGACTTGTTACACTAAATCACACCATTTCCTGTCTTCCCACATGCACCTTAACGTAACAGGCAGGCTGCTACTGTAATGACAGGTGGCACAGGAACACAAGGCATTACGCTGCAGAGCTACTCAGTAAGTCAGTATGTTTTTCACAAGATTATGCAACGTATAGGACATTTAGGGGTCTATTTTTCCAAAAATGGTGAGCAGAAAATCGTGATGCAAAATGTAGCCTCGATGTTTAGCACTAAAGCCCTTTTCACGACACCCACTGGCAGCACTGCAGCTCAGCCAGACACAGGGGTGCTGGGACAATTTGCATAGTTGCTATTTCTCGCAGAGACTTTCCCTAATTTGCGATGCCTTTTTCTAACCAAGTTATTTGTCGTTAGCTGTCAGCAACCCCTAATTCTTTGCCTCTGAACCTCCTGTTCTCTTTCACACTATTAAGAACATTATTTTCTATTCTTCTGTCAGCGGAGAGTGCTGGTGATTATCACTGCAATGTCTGGTCCCCTTTATTGAAAATGTTAATCCTTCCTTTTTACAGGGTTTCTTTAGCCAGAGGTGCTAATACTTGGTTAATAGAATCAGGCTGCCTTTTTCTTCATCTTTTGTGTGTATGTGTTTTAGGGAGGGAATTCTTTTTTATCTCTTGGTCAGAATTTATTATAGTATCTTTTTTGATTCTTCTTCTTCTTTTTTTTTTTTTTCCTCCAGAGAGGCTTCTTTGACTTCTCTTGCTTTTTTTGCTGTGGTTATTTTAATGCTTTTCTTACATTTATCACCCAGAACACTCATTACTCTGTGTCTTTTTTGGTTTCTGTAGTCTTAAAAGGGAACTTAAGAATACGTCCTTCAAAGAGGAGTGACCTGTGTTCATCATCAAGAAGAGGACTGAGAGCTGGGAGTCTTTCCTCACTCAATGCACAGAGAAGGCTTTCTTTGGCATTCCACACACTTCCCTCCAACCTGAAGATCTTTTCAGCATTTAGGTAGTAAACAGCACCAAATATTACCACCACCCCCCACTGCTCATAAGACATTCTTCCATGAAGAAAAGCATGATGTGCAGCATGGGTCACCTGTCGTAATTTCAGGAATTACAGATTCTGCCCCAGGGGAGAGGTGAGGTTGCCAAGATTCAAATGCAGACCAGAGTAGGCTGCAGAATACAGTGCAGGTAACTTTGTGTTATGTTATAGTAGTACAGTCTTTTAATGCTGATCAGGTAGCAGTTCAGCGAAAACTCCTCTTGTTTTGATGTGAAGAGCACAGATCCCATCTTGCACAAACTGCTGTTGTGATGAGTTTCTTTAAAAGGAAAGACTTCACCTGGAGCAATGTAATTACCCAAGAGAGAAAAGTGCCAGGTCATCTGAAACTTTGTCTCTCCTGATTGCAATCATATTTTATTCTCAGGTAAAGCAGAGCTGCTGTGGCAATGAAACTAGGAAGCAGTGACTGTTCAGCATGTGTCTATTGTGGACAGGGGACTCCAAGACCATTTTCAAGGTTGCCCCAATACACAGATGTCCTCCCACTGGAGATTGTTTCAGCAGGCATACCTAAAACTGGATGGAGCTGTTGGAACTGGTTGACTCCCTCCGTCTTTCCATCCATCCAGCCAGTCAACCAGCTGAGGAGGACAGTGGGAGGACACCAGGGACCTTCCTTGCATCTTCTACGAGCTAGAGCATCAGGCTGGCAGAGCTCCAATTTGACTCCTCGCTTCTAAATTCCCATTAGTACGCCATCAGCGTTGCAAAGGAAAGGGCAGCCCCGCACACGCGAGGGTGAGGAGGGAGGCGCTGCAGCAAAGGGTCCCCACCCGCCCTGCCGGGCCCTTCGGGCGCCTGCATGAGATGCCACCCGGTGGCAGCAGGGCCGCATTGCACGAGCAGGCAACGAAACATCCCTGGAAAAGTTGTTAACCTGGTCGCGACTTCACTGCGCAGTCGAAACACCCAGGATGTCCGTGGGCTGTGGTGAATATTTGAGTGACAGCCATCTCCAGTTATGTTAATTGGACAGCTTTTTGCCTTTTTTTTTTTTTTTTTTTTTTTTTTTTTTTTTCCCTCTCCAGAAACCCTTAGGCTTTTGTTTGCAGGGAATAAATAAAGAGGGATTAGTCACGTTTATCTGTGTTTTCCTAAGTCTTTACAGAATAACTGTTATGTGCAATTAAGTAATTTGTCTGTCTTTGACCAAGCTGATAGCAAATTACCAGACATTACTGATGAGGTTCCATTACATTTTAAGAATAGATTACACGGATCTGGAATTTATTGATTTTTATTTATTTTTTAGGCAAGAACAACTGGCAATAATAGTATTATGAAGGTGTAAATTCAATGTGCTTTGACAAGTTGTCTTTATCTAGCAGCATTACTTGGCTACATGATTGTCTTCTCCACAAAGGATCTGCATTGAGCCAGCTGCATAGCAAGATTTTCATTCACAGCTTTCCCTCGCCCAGTGTCAAACATGTGCTGGTGGGATATATTCAAGTAACCTTTGCTAAAAGCAATATCATCCTGGATTTGCTCTCTGTGATCCTGTTAACTGATACTTAAATAATTCAGACTCTTCAAGGATCCAGCTCAGCTGCTTCCCCTATGCTTTGCTGCATTTCAAATCACAAATCCATAAGTGATTTTCTTAAAATCCACTTCCAGTGAGGTTTCCCATATAATTATCACCACAAATTGATGAGTTTCTCTTCAGGAACCATGAAGCATCGACATGCAGAGAGCATGTAATATCATCCTGTCTCAAAATAGATTATCTTGTCCAAGATACAGGTATCATTTAATTTAACTACTTTGAAAGTACTTTACTGAGCATGCCAGACTCTTACAGATTCCCAGGAAATATGTTCTCCTTACAATTGAGACCAGATACTTCACATTGAAATGAACCAATCTTACTACACCTTTGGTTTTCAGGTATATATTAACTTACTATAATCACACAAATATTGTTCATACTAAACATATGCACCACTCAGCCAACAGAAGGCTTGGAAGCACGTCCACAGCTCCTGACAAATGGCAAAAAGAAAAAAATCTTCCAAAGAAACACTGCACTGATACATTTGCCAAGAGGCCTGGCCAGACCTGATTACAACAACCACCGAGCTCTACAAAGTGCGGCATCAAGGCTAGGTCGTCAAAACTGAAAGGCAGCAACTAATCTTAATTAAAGGGTGGGGATTTTGCTTTTTTTTCTTCCCCTGAGAAACAGCACTCAGGGTGGAAAATGAAACTCTTTCACTAAACCCTGTTGCGTGGCTTTGTCTTCCAAATGCACTGGGGAAAATAAGGGGAGGAGATTCACTAAGTACATCCAGGAGAAACTTGGGATACAGCCAAGAGTCGTGATCTGGACAGTGCCAAGACCGTCAGCAGCACAGAGAGGAGGGGTTGCTTCCAAAAGACTTTTTGCTGAGATTTTATCCCTGCCAAACTCTCCTCCCAGTGCTGTAAGTAAGCCATGATGGCTATGCCTGTTTTTAGAACATGCAAAACCTCTGTTACCAGAAATTAGAATGTCACGATGCTTCTCTTTCTTGAGGAAATCTAAGTCGTTTCCTCAGAGAAGTAGGCATCACTCAAGGACAGGTGCCAATGCACAGAAAACATTTTGGGTATATTTGGTCAAGGTGGGCATGGGTCAGCCCATGTCTGTAAATACATGGACTAAACTGCTCTAGCTTCCCGGGACATGGGATTTCAGGGTTTGTTTCTCTGACAACCTGGCCTGGCACACAGTCAGCAGAATATGCTCCAGGGAAGGCAGCTACTTTCAACAAGAGAAGTGGGAAAAGGTGGGAGTCCCTCAGCCCAGTCTGAGGAACACCCAGCACTGGTTACCTACCCCCTGCTTTCAGTGAGATCTACCAAGGGGGCATGAGTTGACTCTACCTGCTCACTGTTGTGGCTAAAGGGCAGTCGTCCTCCCTGCTCCTGTCCTCCTCCCTTCCCTGCTTGCATTCGGGTGTGTGTCTGGCTACTTCCTTCAAAACAGCTCTTGATCTCAGTCTGCCCTTGGTGAACTGATTCAGCTCATTAAACTGCATGAAAGATAAATAACCATACCTGTGAGGGGAAAAGGGCAGGACACCCTCCTCAGAGACAGAAAGAAGTGGCCTCAGAGACATTTCTTCAGTCTGTGAGTGGCTAGTCTTGACTAATCCTCCCTTTTAGGTGGGCCAAGGAGGGACAGGCAATCAGAATTCTTGTACAGGTTAGCTTTCTTGAGATTACATGCCCTGTCCCCCTGCCTACATCCATGCTGGCAGCTAGAAGCCACCAGGAAAATTTGTGGGCCACTCCACACTAGGCAGACCACCTTCAGCATGAAGGCACCCCCTCTCTTTTACATGCAGCATCACCAGCCCTTACAGCTTGCCAGGAGTCCATCAACAAAATCTAGTAGTTGTGCCACCTTAACCTGAATAGAAAAGACCAAGTTTTATTCCCACTGAGATGTATGTGAGGGTTTCACACGTGCCCCTAAGGAAGGATATTTGTCTTAGTTTGTCTTATTTTAGGGCGTTTTGTAACACTGGCCTATCCTTTGTCAAAATCACACATCCCACAGGTCATAATATTAGATATATTGTCATTTTTCATCAAAGGGAGCACAAACTTAGTTCAGTTTCTTTTTTTCTCTGCCGTGGAGAGATACAAAACTTGTAGCCCAGTCATTGCCTCTTTTGTCCTGTTTATACCAAGCAAAATACAAAGAATTCTGAAGAAGCAACCAACCACACTAAACTATTTTCATATTCTTATTGCAAAGAACAAGCATGTCAGAAACCTTTTGGTTTTTTCCCTTGGAACCTATCTTTTTATGTAGGCACTTCTTGAAAGAGCATAAAAAAACCAGTAACTCCTCACTTCATTTCCCTTTCCATTTGGATTGGGCGGAGAGTCATACAACAGAAAAGGACTGTTCATTTTCCTGAATGTTTTTTTACAACCAGCAGCACAGCAACTTAGAGCCTACACTGTCCCTTCATGTCTTCGGGTGCTGTCCAGTTGTCTGTAGAGAAAAAAAAAAAAAAAGCCCAATAGGTCTGGACTCCTTGCAACAGCTTTTCTAAGTGGCTGCTCCTGCTGTTCTGCAGCTGCTGCCCTGCATGTCACTGGAGAGCACTGATATCCCAGGAGCTGCTCACCTGCTCCCCTTCCCTGCATGCTCAGCCAGGCAGCCTGGCAGTCTTGCAGGAGCGCTGGGCAGTGCTCTGGTCTCCTGTGGGCTTGCCCTGACGTCACACATTGACTGCCTCCCCAGCGTGCAAGGGGACATGGACACGGCACTGTGCTCAGGTTTGGGTCTCCTGGACGGTGCTCCTTTCATCTCTGAACCCCTCAGACAGCAGTCTCATTCATAGTGGTACCCACTGGGGGTCACTGACTGCTGGCTCAGGCTCTGGTCACTGATGGGCCTGGACATTTCTCCCTGGGCAGCATTTACCAGACCCTACGCTGTGGGGTTCATATCTGCTCCTTCACCTGGGGGAAAGATCACTGAACCACAGCTCTGTGTGAGCTTGAGCACAGATGTAAGCTCAGACTGGTCAAAAGCATTCAAAAGCACGTCACTGTGCGTCTCATTCTTATCACACAGGCTTTCTTTGCTTGGCTGCCTGAGAGCCTTGCAGAGCACAGCAGTTAGGCTTTAGTTAGTCCCTGTGTCTCCACACTGCCTCTGAAAGGTTCCGAAGCTGGGAAGATGATGTGGAGCAGCTCTGTCTCTCCAGACACCTAACCTGGGTCTCTTGACCTCATTATCTGTGGAATAGAGGCCAACTATAACAGATTTTTCATACATCTGATTGATGACCGTGTGGAAACTCTTCCTGTAATACCATCTCCCCACTTGATTTTTAATAGATTTTGACAAAATTCCATTTTATTCAGAGATCCTTCTGAAATCCTAGGTGTTTGAGCATAGCTTTTAATTTGCAGGGATGCATAGGCTCCCTCCTGGTTTTGAGATTTCAGCTGGTGCAGGGGATCAGGAACAAAAAACAAATGGATAAATGCTGAGTTATGTGCTTGCTGACTGAGCCTCTCTCCTACTTAGAAACAGTTTCATCTTTGTAAAGATTTTGTTCTTGACAGAGATGCTTTTCTCTAACACTGTTAATGAGTATTTATTACAATAGTTGCATTTGTCAGTTCCTAGTATGCACTGGGCACTGTGGAGATTTGATGGAGAGAAAGGAGATGATTGACTGAATTTCTGGTGAAATATCAAATACTTTTAGTCTCCTAAAAAAAGAAAACTTCATTTAGTTCTTCAGTTTTTCTTACATGGCAGCACCCATTCTGTTTTACGTGGTGCCAACAAGACACTTTATAATTTCTGGACATAATACCCCCTTCTACCTTGGCAGCTCAGCAAGAACAGTTTCTCTGAAACATCCCGAATCAATTGACTTTGCCAAGCCTTTTGCTAAACAAATCTGCAGTTGCTTCCAGCATTTTCCCACAAGTGATACCAAATTAATGGATTTGTAGCGTCTTGGTGAGTCTCTTGGCTTTTCATTGTCTGATTAGGCACACTCTGGCCTGCTGGGAGAAATGTACTGCATTGATAAAGATGCTGGATGAGGTTCATTTCATGCCCCACTTTCCTGTTGCATTCTTGGACTCATGCATGTCAAAATGTTACAATGAACATGGATAAGATTAAAAAGCTCGAAGTCCATCAATATGGACACATCTCATGTCATGATTAATCCAGTACCCTAAGTGCCCAAGGAAGTCACGCATGCTATTCCAAATCTGTCTTGCATTTAAAATCTTGCCTCAAATGCATAAGAGAATATTCTTAAAATATATTTGGCATTTAACTATCCATGCAAATAGAACATTCGTAAGAGTAATCTAAGAACCCTATAATCTAACTCAATGCCCCTGTCAAATGATACAAAACAAATCTATGTATGAAATCCCTACATTTTTAAGTAATGATATTTTGAGCACACAACTGCTTTCCAAATGCCATTTTCTCTGTCATATGTTTACAATAACTGTCCTTAAACAACAGACTTCTCTTAGAAAGAGCAACAAACAGGGTTTTGTTGTTTTTCTAAACAGTTTCAGTTCCATTCCTGCCTTGTACGAGAAATTGTTTATTTTCCAGGTAATTCAGTAAATCTCAGAAACAGCTAATGATTGCACTCCCACTGCACATGAGAATACTCACACTTCACTTTCCACACTCTTCCCTTGACCACCAGTCATGCTACATATATTACAGTGTTCACATCATCTTTCACAGAATCTGTGTTCAGACTGCTAATAATTTCCAATTCCCTTAATTTGGGAATGCCCAACCTAACTACTCCCTTAGAGCTGGCAGGTTCCTCTGACCCTAGGCTTCCCTTAGGGACAGATAATGATTGTTGGGCTGGAGAGGTGCTCTAGGACCTGAGGATTATGAAATCACCCTCTTCAGCATCCTTGGACAGGAATTCCACCACCAACCTGTTGCACACCCTGGGCAGGAAGGCTCCCCACACCTTCTTGCGTCACTGAGCCATCTCACAACCAGGAGTACAGCCACGACACAGTGAGAAAGGGCATGCAGAAGATACTTTGGTCAGCCCAGTTGCTGAGGTACCAACCCAGGAGGGGAGAGATGCAAATGTCCTGGGTTGTTCCTGTTTAATTTCTTTCTGACAGTAGTCCAATATGTACATAAGAACGCAGCAACTGATACTCCAGTTCTGGTGTTTTTGTGGATGTCACCTGCTCAAAACAATCTTGGATAAGATGGGAGATATAAACCACAACATTAGCTTTGCATGCTAATCATACATTCACAGATCATAAACTCTGATTTTAAGTCCTGTTCTCCAGCACTCGTCAGTCAGCAAATTACTTCATTCTCCCTAAACCATTGGGCTGGAGAAAATAGGGATTTGAAGCACTCACAGGTACAGCTGTAGGCAGAGTATGTGAGGTAAATGTCTCTATTCTGTTAACAGCTCCTATGAAACTGATCACTCTTCTTTGTTTCTGGAAGTTGGTAAGACTGATAGAGCTTAGCAGCTCTTGATATTGCTATGAGAAGTTTCCTTGGTTCATCGGGGGTTCTTTTCTGATTTTTTTGGTTTTCTTCCGAAAGGCTTATTTCTTCTGTTCTTATCCCATCTTCTCCAACACTCTTAAGAAGAACACCTCTGAGCAAAAGGGACCTGACATCATTCTCTCTTGGCATTATCTACATTCATCCTTGGGCACTGACAATATTAGACAATCACTGTAATCACTGTCACATCCTGAACAATGTCTGGCATCACAGCAGAGCAGCACCAACCCAGGCAACTCTTATGGCCATTGGGACTTAACAGGTACATAACCAGGACAAGAAATGTCATTCAGTCCCTCTAGCCATGTATATGTCTCCTTCCTGTTGTATTTCACCATGCAGGATATCAGGGTTTGCTTCTGGCACCAGGGCAAAAGAAAACAGGTTCACCAGAACCTTCCCCTCCTCTCTCAATATGTGGAGAAAGGAAAAGATAGAGCAAAAAGGAATCCCACTGAAGGCATCAAGATGCCCTTTCTATTGTCAAGACTGTTGATGCCTGCATGTTCTGGCAAGACAGGAAAATCATTTTAACTGCTGGATATTTCTTTCCAGTCACTGGCTATTATCATGCCTTGTGCCTTCTTTGTACTTCAGGCAGCTCCATGATCTATTTCTATGTGTTTGTGATTTGTTTGGTTTTTTTTTCTGCAAAGATATTTCAGATTATGTGCAAATCAACATTACTGGACTATTAATATTTGCTCTAAACTTTAATATGAGCTAAACAGCTGCCCTTCGTGCAAGAGGTTTTGGTTTTGTTGTCAAGTGTTAATTATCTTTACAGTAGTACTTCTTTGTTTCCCACTCTCACTATCTTGGAAGTTGAAGGGTTTGGGGGGACTTTTTTTGCTACAGATCACAGCCTGCTGTTTTACCAGCTCTGAAATTACAAGATTGACTCAGAAACCTTAGATCAATTACAAACTGTGTTAGACCTTCACCTTCTCTTTACATTATCAGTTTAAAAACATACTGCTCATTTCAAAGGCAGTGCAACGTTTTTCAAATATCTGTAACAATTTAGTGGATAACTGTCTCTGTCTGAGTGGATAGAAAATGACTAAAAACATCTTCAGGATCACCTGTTGACAAAAATAAAGCTGCCTACTGTCTTCTTTTTCCTCTGCAGAGATGACTTGCAGACTTTGTACTTTCCACAGTTATCTACCATTTTCCTGGAAAACTCAGCACTGGCAGTGCTTCTCTCTGCTTTATAATTCCAGAAGTGCTGGTTCATGCAGCTGATGGTGTTGTGTGCTGTCTGGACAGTGCTCAGAGCCAGGGAGTATCCCAGAGGCAGACTACCTCTGGCATCTCAGGCTCTAGCTGGTCAGTATGGGGTTAGCCTGAGAGTCCGAAACACACCACAGTTTGTTCTGTGTGGTTCTTGGCAGACTCCCTCAAAGCTATCATTTCTTCTTGCCTTCCGTGATCATTTCCTGGTCAGATTGAACGTGTGCTGCCACCTCCAGACATACTTTTCTGGTATCAATCTCCTCTCAGTTACTAGCATTCACAGTTTTGTCAGTGTAATGAAAGTCAGCTCTCTGGTGGAGCAAACTGGCCGATCCACAGCACCAGAGGAGACCACGTTAATTGAGATCTTCCGGGACAAGAAGACAGAACTTCAACTGTGGAACTGTTTGTTGTCTGTGCCATTTCAAAGATGCTGCCTGTCTTCCTGCATTTGAGTTTTCCTGTTAAAGATTTCCGGTAACTTTTTCCCTGTCCATCTTCTTTGATCCAAGGGATAGAACATCTATGTATTTGTCCATTGACACCAGTTTCGGTCACATTTTCAGCCTAACTACAAAAGGTTACAAAATGGAAAACCTGAGCAGACATCTGTGGATGCTCCAGACATAAACCCCAAATGGATTTTTCCCAGCATATTTCCCTTAGTATGAAGAGATGCTCTCCTATGTAGCAGCTGACGTGCTGCTCAGCCAAATGGAGAAAGACATAAGTACACGTTACTGTCAGCAGAGAAATCTTAGACCATTTAGCTCATTACCAGTTACGAGTTTCACAGCACTGCATCCCCTGTTCCCTGCAGAAACAGGACTGGGATAATGTTAGCAGGCTGAGGAGAACAAACCAGAAGATTTGGAGCACTACAGCAGACTTCAGAAGTAAGAATCAGGCTTTCAAGTATCAGGTTTTCGCCTGCTCAAAACATCAAAATGTTGGACCTTGAAATAGCCAGCAGCTACACTGGGTCATATGGTGAAGGTTCTGTCCTGGAACTGTGACTCTGAACAGGTCACTTTGCTCTGTTACCAGCAAGGTCTCGGCACAGCCTCTGCCCTGCTTTGGACCCCAAATGCCAGCTGAGTCTGGTCAAAGAATGACTGAGGAGGCTTACCTGATGCACATTGTCACAGAGCAGTGAAAAGTCCCAGTCTTCAGCTGCAAGGGAATGAGAAGCAGGTTTGCCTACCATCCAGCACAGAGTTCAGAACCAGCTGTGTGAGGCTCATGTCCAGCTCAAGAGACCTTCCCTATTTACTGAGATAGAGGAGCGGTATGTTATCTCAGTAGACTTCTGAAGAGAAGAACTAAAAGCATTTTGGGTTTCATCAACCCATCAATGTAAGAGGACTTTTATGCAAAACACCCACTGACACATTTAGTGATAATGGTTGTATACCTGACTTATAACCTACATTTCTGAATATTTTCTTGTGTGGTTTCATTGCAGTTCCACGGAGCTGCAGCACTAGAAAAATCTTATGCAAGTGTGTGCCAGGTTTACAATTCTACAAGTCCCAGCTGTTGAAGAGGTCAGAGAACTTCTAAATGTAATTGAAAATCCAGTTCAGCTGGGAATTGCCAGCAAGCTAAATGAAAAAATCCCAGCCCCTGTAGCATATTCCTTACTAAGTACTGTGACATATCACCTTCTGTAAACTTCTGGTGTCACCAAGTCTCATCTACAGGAAAAATAGCCGGAAAAGTACCACAGATTCTTCTAATAAAATATTATTGTGTTTAGAGTGAACTCCAGTATCAGGAAGTATTTTTCAAGAGTGTCATGAAAAATAAATTTCTTGCAATATTCCCTAATTGGATTGCATTTTAATCTACCATTTAACCAATAATGCAAGACATTTATATTTTGGGATTTTCTGTCTCAAAAACAACTCCTTCTCGCAGATCCCACTTCTTCATAGTCATGAATAATGACATCACAGTCATTTCCATGGAAAGACACTTACCTCACAATCTTTATTGTGTTATCAAACAGAAGCAGCTGGGTAATGTGGGTGAATAATCCTGTTCTGTATATTCAGCAGTAGAAAAATGAATACCGAAAATTACTAACAAACTAAATAGCTACTTCTATAAATACTCCCCTTCCAAAAGTTCACCCTATTTTAAAAGCCACTTGTTAAATGCTATTTAGTATATATATAAAGACTAATGGATGAAGACCAAAGTCCTTGAAATAGACATAGAAAAAATACTTCATAACTAAGTGTAAAGCAAACATCTCTATCTGTTTGCCTTACCTGTATGACTTTTTTTGTTCCCATCAGCCATAAAGAGGTATTTTGCTTTCTATCACTACCAGCTGCTGGGGCATTTTGTTTAAAAAAAAAAAAAAAAATGGGGCAAACAAATGTCTTGTACATCAGTTACCATAGCACTTTCCACTACTGCCTTTCATTCCATTCAATCTCGAGAGGCAAAACTAAGCCCTATTTGGACTTAGAAACACCAGCTTTCTCCACAACAGTGGAGACAAGTAGACAAGTAGACAAGCAGTGAGTGATGAGCACAAAAAGTCTTCTCTGGAGAGCCAAAGAATTCTGTTTAATCAGTATCAGTGGAAAAGGATGTGAGCTACAGTGGGAAAACACCCCAACAGTTTCAAACCAACCTAATTTGGGCCAAATTTAAAGCCAATACCAGTGAGCACAGCAGCTTGAAATGAAGAAAATTTCTGTACACCATGACCTGAATTGCTTGGATGCTCAGCAAGGTGACCCACCCTGGTGTTATGACTGAACAATAGCACTGTTAACAAAAGAAGAGAGGCCAACAGCATCTGGGCATCGTGATACCGCTCATCCTTTATCCTGTCTTACAAGTGGACTTTGTGCTACCAAGACTCTCTTTGCACTTTAGATGGTAAAGGAATACTATCCGTACAGCATGCAAATCCAAGCTGTAGCCAAATGATTTGTCACTGAAGGCAAATCTGTCTAAAAGTGGATAGAAAATGTGCACAAGTAGCACTGAAAGCTCTGGAGGAGATTTTGGATAATAGCTATTCCCCTTCCTTCACACTGAACAAGTAAATGGGATCTTTTTGCCCTCTTCTCTCTTTAAAATATTAGAAATCATTACCAAAACTTGTCTATTATATTCCCTGTGCTTAAAAGCATGTTTTCTTCTTCATGTGAAAAGAACGTTGAATGCATCACATTTGCAGCTGAACAAATACATTCACCAGTTCTCTTAAATGCCAGCACAATTGCTTTAGTAGAGTTAATAAGGGGGGGTGGTAACGTGAACAGCCTTATTTTTGTCCTTAGCGCCCCAAAAGGAAATGTGTTTCTTACTAATAATAGTGCATGTGACAGAAAATACCAAGTACATGCAACTGTTCTCATTCACTTGCCAAGATGGATAATTCACATCAGGGCTTTAAAAAGTAAAACAAAACAAACAGCAAAACACCCCAAGTAAACAAATTAACCCTTCCCCTTCTACCAGCAATTCCTCTAAACCAGAAGTTTTAGTCTAAATTATTTTGCTAGTGACCAGAGGGTGAGTTAAAGGGAAGAAGAACAGAGCTCGTGTTTAAATTCCCTGAGGAGCTTGTAAGAAACCACCCTGTCTGTCACTTTTTTTTCTCTCCAGTCAACCGTTAAGCACACCCTGCCAACGTAAACCAGACCTGCAGAGGAAACAGCTTATTCACACCCAAATTTATTTCTAGCCACCCCTTTTTTTGTAGCACTCAATACAATTCTGACAGGCTCAAACATTAAACAGTCATAAATCTACTTTCCTCCTGCTTCCCCCTGGAGAAATCATGTAACTGGGCTTGAAACCAGGGAGACTTAACTGAAATTTATTAATAAATGTTGCAGGGTTTTGTTTGTTTTGGTTCCTGATTTTTGAAGCTACATGTACTCATAGTCACACATCCAGGGTTTTCTGTAACCACAATGACAAGGAGTGACGTTCTTTACACCCCCTTATTTCCAGTGGCTGAAGCTGTAGGGGGAAAATAAAAGTGATTCAGTATCATACAACTCCAGATGGAACAGATGTACCAATGCTGCTGCCTTGTTAATTCACTCCCAGTATGCTTAAATTTCAAACTCCCATCACACTGCCTTCAAGAGTGCTGGAAGTGAATGCCACACCTAATTCGAGGGAAAGAAATGGTACAAGATTGTTGGATCAGGGCATATGCCTGCATCTCATTAACATCTTATCTCAAATTAGCAAAAAACTCTCAGAGCAAAGTGCACTGCTGAAAGTTTAACAGATGATAGCGTTCCCTCTGCGACGTGACCTGGTGTTTCTTCCCTGACTTGGGAGACTTCACCACACTGGGAGAACTGTGTCGATGGAGAGCAGCTGGGGGACCCCGTGCCTGGGATGCCACTTGCAGTGCATGTACTGTTTAGCAGGAGCCTGTTCTCACAGGCTGGGACACGGGTCTGCTGTGGGCTTGGCTCAGGGGGCCCATGGCAGGGCAGGGCAGGGCTGCAGGGAGCCAGGGACAAACCCCACTGCAGCCTTGATGGGGCAGGGGCTGATGGCCCTGGGGGGTGACATGGGGACCTGGGCCTGGGGTGGTGGTGGGAGCCCCAGGAGTGGGCAGGGCAGGCAGGAAGGGAAGGTTTTGGTGTTTTACCCCGTGCCCACAGATTTCTGCAGATCTATAAAGCCTTCCCCGAGCCACTACAGATACCCCTGTGCAAAAGATAAACTCCTTCCTAAATAAACCCTGGGTTTAGAGAGGGACCACAGGCTTAAAACAAGTACACCAAAGCCCTGCTGTTTGCTCCAGGAAGCTCACTTTGTGTCTTTTACTCACCTTCTGGCCCAGTGTCCAAAGGGAAATTGTAGTCAGTATTTTCATCCATGGAGCAAGGGCTCTCTAAACCCTCACAAGCCTCTGGTTGAATCCACTTAAGGACCTGAGGACAGATCTTTCCTTTCCTCCCGCTTGGTGGTCTTTGGAGGGCAAGCATGTTCTCTGGGACTAGGCACCCCTTCCTCGCAGGAGCCCATCTGCTCTGAGCATCAGTGGGTCTCTACCTGCCCACCCAGGTTTTTGGAATGGCAGGTTTGCAGTCAGACCAAGGCCCACTTTTCAGCTACCCTCTGTCTGGAAGCTGGACACTGAATCCACACTATTCTTCTCAAAGACTTATTTAATTTGTGCAGCAGGACCCCAAAGGCTGACCACAGCACAGGTCTGAAGCCTTCTAGTTTCTGGTTCCTATGATATATTTATTCCCTGTTGGAACACTGCTTTCTAGTTTAATCTTTCAGGAAAAACATACCAAAATAAATGACAAGTAAAGGCTTACTAAATAAAACTCTTAATGTTGTCACATTAATCTTCAATAATGGAAAGTATTATCAACCAGTGGTAGGAAAAGAGCTGATCCGAATCTTTCCTCCTCTCCTTGCTTGGACGGAGTCAGTCCAGGCAGTGCTCAGGCCTTCTCTTCTTTCCAGGCCACTTCAGAAACATTTGGCTGCGATTCTGTGATAATGACAGTTTTAAAAGAAATTTGTTCTACATCATGTTTTACATCTGCCTTACAAAGTATGGATCTGAAGGCTCTCTTAGCTTGGCACACTTGGATCTACTCTGCTACAAGGCTGGAAAGGCCACTAACAAACATTCGAAGGCATGGCCTGTGATGGCACGCTCCCTCTGAGATCTCTTCGGGGCATCCCACACATCATTTTGAGTGTACAGTGGACAGAACAAACTGACACCATGTAGACTGGATTAACACCTAGGCAGAGGCAGCCTTGCAAACTACACGTTGCTATCAAAATAGCACTAATAGTCCAGCAGAGAAGTATCTCCATCCATCAGAAATGGACTGTCTTATTTATTCACCCTTCGTTGAGCTCCAAGAATTAACAAAAAACAGACTGATCTCAACAGCTGCCTAGATTTTGGGGGAGGTGGTGAGGATCTGAGATCTACCGGGCTAGAGATATGCCTGTGGGCTTCTGCGTAGTGTTAACAGCCCTCCTTCCAAAAAGCATGGGGTACCAAATCCAGCAGTGAAAAAAATGCCCTTTTCTCTTATGTATTTGGAATAAGAAGTCAGCACAACTGACAGCTTTCTGGGGGCCCATCTTACATCAGCCTCTTTAGGCTTACGATCATTCCCAGTTTACATATAATGCTAACTAGTCTAATAATTTTCATTGTCAAGTGTGAAAATGCAGTAATCAAAGCCACCTTCTTATTTAAGACTGAGAGTGTGAAACGAGGAAAGTGCTAAGAAAAACAAATCAAAACAAAACAGAAAGAAAATTAAAGCTTTGTATGTCTTTTTTACAATTACTTATTTTCGGTTGCTGAGGGTTTTACAGACTCTCTTTCATCTTTTTTCACCTTCAGAGACTAGCCTGTTTTTTGTTGCATTCTGAAGGTATTCGTTCAATGTGAAGTAGTGGCAGGGCTCCCTGGGCAGAGAGCTGTCAGCAAAGCCAAAGAAATGCCATGCAAAACCAGGCCCACACGAAAACTTGCCACACGTCTCAGGAAGCTGTCTCAGGGAGCAACCATTTTCTGAGAGGAAGGTTTCCTCCTTTCCCCGTTACTTTCACAGCCCATATTTTTATCTGAGCCCTTTTAGCACAGTATTTATTTCTGAGTCATACAAATCAACTCCAAAGCTTGGGTAATGCCAAAAATGGGCTATTCATATTCATTCACGCTCTTGTACACATCTCTGCTCTCATAAAATGGAACATGTGTCTGATGAGCTTATTTACTTTCTAAATGTGTGGCAGAGAAGGATAGAGAGTGTGCAAGAGATAATGGCAGTAGCACTGGAATAACATCAATAAGGCATTTGCAAATACAAACGTCACAGTTTGCCTGACCTCTGCCAAACTCTGTGCAGTTTGGTTATAATGGTTTGTAAGAAACTCTTTGGTGCAGAGTTCATTGTTATCCCTTTAAAATAGGCACATGCTCCGTTCGTGAATTCCCAAAACAAAGATGCTGCTCAGAACAGAGATAACTCATGCCTAAGATGCCTCTTGACTGGTTGCTGTTCACTTCCACAGGGAAGAAAACCATTAATGTCATCACCTGTGCTGTCCTCTTAGGGTCCAGGGCTTTTAGAGTACCCCCATCTGCAGCAGGTTGAGTCTGCTGTGACTGATCCTGCACACAAAACTCCCAGTCAGCTCCCATGTCACAGCCCTGATGGATAATGCAACACAGAAAATGCTTGGGGAGCAAATCTCTGCACTCCCTGGTGCACACACGACATACAACACCTTGCAGCACTGAGAGACTACCCCAGTGTACACGGGGAGTGCTCACCATGCTGGCCTGCAGCCAGGAGGCAGTCCCCCTAATAAGACCCCATACTCAAAAGGAAGATGGTCCCCACCCAGCTGTCTTATGCACATGGGACAGTGCTTAACTGATCAGCCCTCAACCCTTTCTCTCAGACCTCTCTTTGCAATAAGCAAGCAACCTAGATGAACCTGTGTCTACCAAGTTACTACAGCAAAAAAATTACATTACTGTCCTTTCTTCCAAAACCATTAAACATGATTTCAGGTTTTAGAAGTGTGTTCCTTACCCCCATTCCTGTCATGGTGTCCCTCGTGTCACAGGCATTCTTATATTTATGGTAAAATTATGATGGAATTAAAGTGCAGGATTCTAGAGTACCCTTAGGGAATAATTTTGTAAATATGCATTCAGTGCTATGAGTCCACTTCAAAAGTAAAAAAGAAGAAAAAAAAAGAAAGGAAAAAGAGAAAAAAACCCCTCAGCTCTTCAGAAGTATTTTTATGAACCTCAGGGATGAGTCATCTCTGGCAGAGGAGATTTAACAAGATGCAAAGAGGGGCTGATTCCACACCAAAGCAGGGAAATAACCATTCCTTCAGTTTGGTGGCTGATTTTTTTGACTAGAGCCCCCCTTACCACCACAAAGAGCCCCCCACTCCTCATACACGACTGACAGACAGTCCTCTCTGTCAGTCATTGTTCATGGACAGCCCTGCCCATAAACCTGGGCTGGAGGTGTTGAATAACAGAGACAAGTACCCTCTGCTACCTTGAGAAGGATCCAGAAAGGCTATTTCCTTTTTCTTTTTAGCTTCCCAGAAAAATGCATCTTCTCCAATAAACAACCTCCCCTTTCTTCATCAGGCGTGAGAATTCATATCATATGGAGTCATCTCTAATCTCTCAAGTACCTTTCAATTTTACTTGCTACTTGGGCACTAAGATTCCCCTCTCTCTCTGTGACAGATAAAACGTTTTCAGGGGTGGAGGTCAGTTCCCTGATATATCTAGACAGAAGCCTCTAATCACTTGAGTTTTTATCCAAGTGAGAGCTGAGAACATGCTGCATTCCTAAAATCTACTTATTAACACGATAACTAATCTAATGGATGCCTTCAGATGCTTGAAAGTTGAAGGCAGAAGCGAGCATGCATACACATCAGGACAGCTTCTACATTTTTAAGCCAATTTACTACTCGCCTAGAATTAAAAAGAGGATGACAAGCCCAGATCTGCAAGGAGTTTAGTGGGAGTTAGCAGACTCTTAACTGCAGCTGACAGGGCAGAGTTGGATGATGTCTTCCCTACCACACACAGGATTTTCTTTTGTGCTCTTAAATCTTTTGAGTCTAAATTTTAAATAATCTATTACTCTCTGCCATTTTAATGTTTGCATACAGATTGCTGTGACAGAGTTGCAAAAATCCATTCTGCATCATTTTTCAATTAACAGGTAAAAGAAAAGACAAATTGTTCCCATCTACTCTTTCACTTGTATCCAGCATTTGTAACAGCAGAAAGTATATTCTAGGAAAAGCCCTGGTTTTGTTGTGGGCTCAACAAAATATTCCAGCAGCTCACTCAAAACAAATTGGTAAGAGGAGTTTGCTGAATGAAGAGTAGAACAGTTTCAACTCCTTTGGCGGAAGGACCCTTTCCAAGTGTGAGTCAGGAACAGCTTTTCTGTTGTTCTCAGCGCTGAAAAGCAGACATCCACTTGGCTTCCCGTGAGTCCTGGCCCAGAGTCGACACTGGACTGTTACCTGCATGACACACTCAATTCAGCAGGAAGGGAAGAGAAAAGATCCTTCCTAACACCAACACCACACACACTTTTATACAAACACGTCGGTTGAGTTGAGGGTCCTCGGGTTCCCAAGCCTTCTCAGTTTTAGATCAAAGTTCTACCTCTGGGGGTAGAAGCAGTGTCTCTCCTGCCCCAAGTACAGCTATAGAGTGCCATATGAATAAACAACAGAGCAAGGCAAGAGATGAGAGAAATATAACGCTGCTCTGGCACCTCAAGTTTGGATTACTTAGAAACTGCACCAATTCCTGGCAAGGCTGACCTAACTTGTGATCCTGAGAGCTCGATAAATTGAATTCCACAGAGTTCACCATGTATTGGTTTTTGATGAAAACTTTAAAAAACAGGCTTGGTTTTTTTTTCTCTCCACAGCAGTATAGTTCTGACAGTGTTGTATAAGCATCGTGATTTCTCTTGCTGCTTTGAGACAAGTTTCTTTCCAAGCTCTCACCATGCTAGGCACTGAGTTTTCCTTGGCTTTTCTCTCCACCCCAGAGGATGCTATGTTTCCATGATGTATTATTAAAGTGTATATGTTGTTTATGAGCTACCCTGGTATCTTTCAGTAGGGAGACACAATCTAAATGTAAAGTAGCATCACTGTGATAAATAAGGAGAATTCAAAGCTCTGGCACCTTTACTGTATGTATGAGATGTGCTTGGATGCTAAAAGCTACCCTCTTTTGCATGTAAAACACTAGTACCTTGTAGTTTCTTCACTGAGATCTGTAAGTACAGAAACAAAATCTGACTTCTAAAGGATTAATGCATGCAACTGCACTGCAGACCCGAGAAGATTCTTCCACAGCCACCTGAAAACAACTGAGTGGTTCGTAGCAAACAGTATTTAATAACAAGAAGAACCAGTATTTAGTAATGAGAGGGAATTGGAAAATTACCCTACCCCATCAACTGACAGGAAGATTATGAGGTGTTTTGCTGATTCATTGCACTCAAAATGCGAGAACTGGGAGAGACAGAGGCACAAAACCTAAAATGCCTCACTGGCATTAGCCAGGCGTATTGTAGCACAATGGGTATAATTCCCTCCCCGAGAGAGTTCTTTCAGGACCATGTACGAGAGCCGCCGAAAGTGAGGTGGCAATGACCCTGCTCTGCGGCACTCTTGTGACTTAATAGGAACAGCTGGTCAGTGAAGTGTTCACTAGAAATTTAACAGGGCTCAAACAGTGAGAAACGTCTGCCAATAAATCAAAAGTGAGCACCAAGCTAAATGAGGTTTAATTTAAATTCGTACCCAGGGCTGACAGATGAGAGCTTTGTGGCTCTTCTGCATTGCATTAGCACAGGCAGGTCTGTGTCCACATCAGCAGCAGCAGCTCGGGGAAGATGATTCTGAGTGGCAGCCTGGGGTCTTGGGTTAAGTGTACGGTAGTCGTGTGAAAGTGTACATCAAATGCAAGGGGGGCCAGTGGGGAAAGGCAGTGGGAAGTCATTTCTCCCTAATGGCACATTTTCCGAGCCGTTTGAACACGATGAAAGCCACCTCGGCCACAAATATTTTCAGCTCTGCTGTGCCCCATTGCTGCCATCAGCTTGGTTCCACTGTTCCCTGGCAGAGCAAGATGCCAGATCAGAAAAGGCTGTTGCCATAGGGGCAGTACCCCCACGACGACAGCTGGGGACAGCCAAGGGAGGGAAGTCATCTAGCATTTCTGTTTCCTTGCCAGAGGAAGCCCTCACAACCTTCAGTGAAAGGCCAGCTTTCTCTGAGCCCCCAGGATATGGTGGGTGTGGGCAGAAACCTCCAGAAGGTCACCTTGCAGTGGGTCGAAGGTGGCCATCACTGGCACCAGGGGTTCATGCATCCATCCTGCTTCACTGGGCAGTTTCCAGTCTGGCAGCAAGGACTAGATTTCACTTTGAGACACTTTGAGGCAGACTAGGTGCCTTTGATTCCCTGGGAGATCAGGAGAGTCATGCCAAGAGAAGCATGAAGGTTTGCTGGTTGTGCCCACATGTTGCTCTGCTCTACCGTGAGCAATGCTGACTTATTTTCAGGCAAATGCTCAATCACACCTATGTGACTTCAGAGAAAAGCTTTTTGGCTGCTGGTGGGCGACTTCAGCAATTGCAACAGTGGCAATGTCACTTGAGGCTTGGTGCTGTAGCCAAACCCATTTGGTACCCATGCCTGGTGTTTTGCCTGGAGAAGGCTAGAATTGGATTTCCAGCTATGCTGCGCTTCATCAAACGGGCTTCCTCGCATTTGCGCTGGAGGGAACTGAATCTGCTGCTGAAGCAGCATCCCATTTGCCAGGAGGCCTTGGGGTGCCATCAATGGAAATAATCACTTTTCAGGCCATTGGGGTAATGCAAGCAGCCACTGCAAAACTGCACAAACAAGAACAGTAAATGGGATGTTGCCGCACCACAGATGTGAGAGTGATGGACAGGTGCCAGGGTGGCTACCTGTGTGACTCCATGAGACAGAGTCCTGGGACCAGTGCAGGGCCAGGCAGAGAGAGGGTCCTCTCCCTCCCCTTCTTGGCCTCTGCCCGTGGCTGGAAAGCACTGCAGAGGTACATGGGCAGCCCACTGTGCCTCGAGGGGTCATTTGTGTTGCCCGGTGTTGGTTGCTTTGAATCTGCTGGAGTGTTTGCTCACAATTCTCAAACCAAGACACAGGGCTGGTTGTCCCTTAGTCTGAAATGTGGCATAACTGCAGGGGCAAAGGAGAGAGTGAAGGTGGGGAACAGTGGAAGGATGAGCTGCAAGGTGAATTTCTTTGGGCTGGGCTGTCTCTGCATTCTGCATGGCTACTCTTTGCTTAAATGGGGGAATCAGTTTTGCTCTTTTTTTTCCCCTTCAAATGAAATTAGAGATATCCAACGCATGACACATGCTACCAAACGTACCAGGGGCTATTTCCCGTCTATGAACAAATCTAAATAAATGCATCTGTATGAAAAGAACTGTGACCATTTCCTCACATACTCACTGATGTTCTGACTTGAAGAAACCTCAACAAACTTCTTGTTTTTAACGTTTTCCAGAAGTTTCAAATAAAAGAGACTGAAAATAGCTCACAAAATGCAAGAAAGAGGAAACTGGGAATAACTGACTTATACAGATATACTGGTATATTCCAGTTAGCATTTCACATCCAAATACTAACTTGAGTGCATGCACACACACATATGCACACATAAAATGGATTAGATTAGTTCTGCAGCTTTTGAAAACCACAGCTACACTTTTCACAAGACAGAGGCAGCCATATTCCCTTCAGAAATCATCTGGTAGGAAAATATCAAAAGCAGAATGTGCAGGCTTTTAAAGAAATGTGTAGGAGCAAAACAAGCTTATTTCTGTTTTAATCCAAATTGAATCATATGTCTTATGTCAAAGCTATAAAAAACAAGGAAGGTAAAGAGGTAATTCATGTACTACAAACTTAAAAAAAAAAGTATTAAGTAATTTCCTTCTCTTTACACAAAAGAACAACAAAAAAAAAAAGTATCAGTTCCTAGCAAGAAAATTTCACCTTCTTCCTACCATTAAGAAGAAACTAAGGAGACACATCCTCTTCTGGTATAGTCTGCTACAGCTCCCCAGGATTCAAAGAAACTAGGACAGTTTCTGACAA